ATTATCGATTTGGGATATATATTGAAATTATCAATTTTGATATGATTTTTCAAATAAATTAAGATATATAAGATAATTATTTCTCAAAAAAATAAAAATTTCTGAATTTATAATTAGTTTTCGTTATTTTTCGATAAGATAACTCGATATAATATAATTGAAGAATATTATATCTTCTAAATATTGAAATATATTTCCGCTTTAAGAAAATATTTCAATAAATAATCTTCTTATTATAATAGCAAGAATTAAATTTTTATTTTCAAAGAATCGAATATATTATAAATTTCGATTTTATCTCTTATTTTATAAATATCAATCAGAAATAGATATAGAAGACTATATTTCACGTCTTATAATCATATATAATCCTCATAATCAATATCTATTTATTATCATGATTCGAAGCTATGATCTATTAAAAATGAGATTATCATAGAATATATCAGAATCTGAAAATATCATGCATGAATCTCGAAGAGAATCATTTTTGAATAAATCTTCTTCTGATCGCTTTATTAGAATTCCTTCCATGAGGCGACTGATCTTTGTCCTCTCACAAGACTTATATAATAATAATATATTTTTTTCTAATCTAATCGAATGTTTCGTTTAGATGGGCATATATCTGAACGAGATCTTGAAAAGATAAGCAATATCTCGAATCGTCGAGCATGCTCGCGAGCGCTTTTTTCTCCTCAAAATATTCTGAATGGAATTTTCATAAATATCTCATAAGATATTCTATAGACTTTCTATATGATGAATTTAAATTATATATAAGATAAAGACGATCTTCTTTAAGATATTCTATAGGGAAATCTAGATGATATTCTAGAAGAGATATATAGGCTATATCGAGGGACTTATCTTTTTCAAAATCATAAGCTGGCCTAAAAATTTCTATAGGCTGCTCCAGAATCTATTCTAAAATATATTCTATAAATTATATATATAGATATATTATATCTTATTAAACAAGATCCGATTTAATCAAGGAATTCCTAGATCCTAGATTATATATTTTTTAAAATTCCTTGCCCAATAAATTATAAATCAATTGAGAGATATTCAGAATTAAGACCCCTCCTAATTTTATCTATTTTTATATTTTCTTTGCGAAATTTTATATAAAATATTATATTATATTTTGAAGAATTTATATAGATATTATTCCACGAAATATTCTAAATATATCAAAATAATTTTTAAAAGATTGAGAATAATCATTTAAAAAATTAAGAAGAATTATTAAAAGAAGAAATATCCTCATCAATAAATTGAAGAATTATTCTAAAAATCAAAAATTTATTCGATTTGATAAGCAAAATCAGGAAGATATATCTATTATCAATAATAATAATTATATAAAATATAGAAGTAATAATAATCTCAGAAAATTGATTTTTTATAAAATTGAATATGATATCTAGAATTTAAATAGATCCAAGAAGAGAATTCGATATGATCTTGCAGATATCCATATTTTTATAATCAGATTTTACGCAGATTCTAAAGGAATTCTATCAAGATGATTTCGAAATTTATCAAAATTCTATAATAGATTTAGAAGATTTCTAGAGAAATCTATATAGATTCTACTCTAATATTTTTATTTCAAATCTATATAATATATATTTTAGATATAAAAGAACTATTAGAAAATAATTTCAGAATTAATATATATATATATGATATATTAAAATATATCTTTATTATTTAAGAAACTCAGAAGATCAGGGACTTCAATAGAAAAATTCCAAAATAAAAAGATCCTTATCCGATGAGGATCCTTTCGTCTGTATTCTTGAAACAATGAAAAATATACTCAATTCTTATCTGAAAATCTTGGTCTTTGGGGGAACTCATATATAGATATTTCTGTCAAAAATCAAGCACCTTATATAATCTTATATAGAAGAAGCCCTAGTCCATAATCTTTAGAGATATTGGGAGCATAATATCAATCCCAATCCCTTCAATATAATCGATAAAATCTTCAATCCGAGATATGTCGCAGCCCGGGCAATGGGCCAATTCGGTCATTTCTATTCAAAAAAAATGGATAAGTTGCGGGGGGGGGACCAGAAGCTGCAATTCAATTGGGCACTTATCAAATCTTGGATTCCGATTGATATTCCTTATTCAAAATCCCTATCTATAAAATATATTGAAATTTTTCTATAAAGAATTCGAAAGATATCCTGAATAAGATATTATATAAATATTTTAAATGATTTAGAAAAGATATATGAGATATATCATATATAGAAGATCTTCTATTAAGAATTATATAAGATATATATTATAAATGGCATTCTATTTAATATAAGATTTATCGGCAGAAATAAAATAATTAGATATTTTATAGATTTTTCGATAAAATATTATAAAAAATATTCTATAAGATATATGCAGAATAAATCTTATAAGGATTCTATTCTCTATATAAATCCTTTATAAAATAAATTTCGAATTTTCTAAAATTCTTGGATTTCAGATTCCGTATTTCCAATATATGAATCCCTTATCCAATAAACTAGACTTCATAAGAAGAATTCTCAGATTAGATATGCAATAAAATAATATTATATTTTATATGAACTTCTGCAAGATTTGTCGAAATGATATTTTATAAGGGATTCTACGGCTATTCTCCTTTATTCGTTATTTATTTCATAGAAATCCTTTGCTCAATAAACTAGAAGATCTTGAGGTTCTCCTAATTTCCCCTAGGTCTTAATCTATAAGATTTCTTTCAAATATCCCAAAGGGATATTCAAGAATATATACAAAATATAGAAGAAATATCATTTATAGAATTTTCTATAAGATATTCTAAATAATATTCCACATAATTTTCTATAAAATTTATAGGAGCAATCATAAGAGATTCTATGAGGCATCTTATAAGATATTCCAAAAAAAAATATATGAAAGATATATTACAAGAAGATATTCTAAAGAAAATTTATAGATTAATAATTATTGCAAAGTCTAGATAAGATATATACATTTTATTCTATATAGCATTATTCAAAATATTATATATGAAATTCTGGAAGATATATAAAAAAAGAAATTCTTATATTATAAAGGATATATTTGTAGGAACAAATTTTTGGTGCTCTTGCTAAGAAGCCATTATTGAATGAGATATTATATAATTAGAAATAGAGATCTTAGATTCCGACTAATATTATATATATTAATCTATGAAATAATCTATAAGGTATTCTGTAGGGGAATCTAAAAAATATCATATGAAATATTCTATCGAATATTCTATAATCAGATTTTTTGTATATATATATATATATTTATGGATATTAGTATCATATTTAGTATCTTCGATATTTCCAGAAAAAGACGTGCCGACATAATCCCAAGGACTCAATTTTTATCGCGCAATCAATCCGTCATGCACAGCAATCGGTTGCCTCATACTGTCATTTTTCACTGCAGCAATGACCATGTGACAGAGATTGTGGTAAACCGATGTGCTTTATGATTTTGTAACAGTACACATATGTAGTATATGATGTTTGATATCGATCATGATAATCAGCGATAGTTGTTCCCACCGGCCTGTCTGCATTGAAGCCAGCACTGAAAATTTGAATTTCAATGAAAGCAGACCAGACCCGAGGAACCCAGAACCAAGATGCCCAGGACTGGCGAATTTTGGGTCCTGATTCCGAAAATTAGTCTACATTGGGATCTGCCTTGAAAAACTGAATTTCAATGCACCTTGGCCCCAGGAACCAAGATGCCCAGGACTTGGTTCCAGAGGTCTGGCAACATTAAGATCTGCGTTGAAAAACTGAACATCAATGCCATAATATACCCGGGACGGAGGAATCAAGATCCAAGATTCAAGACTCCTGGGCATCTTGGTTCTTGGTTCCACGGGCCCGTCTGCATTGAAGCTTAAATTTTTCAATGCCGATTCAATGTTGGGAATTATTAATAAGCACAAGAGATGCTCATGCATAGACTCAAATACATTAATTCGCGCTAAGATGTACAAGTGTATGTAAATATATGTGCAGAGTAGGTAGAATCGCGTATAGTTCACGGCGATTTGATATAAAAAGGCTTTGGAGGTAGGTCTCGGGGGGACCATCTATATATATATATAACATATGTATATATACACATGTATGGACAGACACACGTGACGACATTTGTATGTATAGACATATACATATACACTTCTACATTTGCATATACATCCTCATCATCAACATCCTCCTCATCATCATCGTCATGGAAG